GCACATTATAATAAACGTGGCCACGTAATTATCGACTGTTTTCAACTCCAAGGTAATAGTGCCAAATTTAAGGACACACCCGATGCAAAGCGATTCCCAAGGTCATACAGCGAGGCAGCTAATGCGGCGCTTCCACCTACCCACAAAACGCGTAAGTGGTGCTCTCTACACAAGTCCACTTCTCATAATACACTAGAGTGCGACTTGGTGATGAAGGCTAGGAATTTAGATCTTAGTGAAACAGAGCTGTCATACAAGCGAAAGAAGAAGCGTCCCCAGGACAAGTCGTCGAGGGAAGATCTGCGCTCATCACACCAAGGAGAGGGATAGGCACAGTTTTTCCTGCCTCTCCTCACAGCACTTCTATAGCGGCCTCGTTAGTAGCGGCGCTAAGCAAAGTCGAAGTGTTGTCAGTGCCGGTGAGGGTTGATAATGCAGGATTGGCTCTTGATATTGACACGGGTGCATGCGCTAATGTATTGGCCTTGACATCCTATCAAGAGTTACAATGTAAATTCCCTTACCGAGACTTCGAATGGCGACCTAGTAACGCTGAGCTCGAAGGAGTATCAGGTACTCAGCTGAGCATTCAAGGAATGGTGACGTTACCACTCAGATTTTCAAGACGTGGTTCTCCCTTCTACGCGGACTCTTATGTAGTTCAGCAGTTCAATTTGCCAGCTGATGGGTTACTTGGTCTCCCAACCCTTCGAACGAACATGATAGATGTTCATCCGCGTAATAATACCATTACGTTTAAAGGTGTTTCCTATAGCGCTATGAGTCATTCTGAACCTATGCTCACCGCTAGATCGAAAGTGTTGTCCACCAAGCCTACTAAGAGGAAGGCGGATCATGCGTCAGAGCTACCTCATGACCTCAACCCCAGCGTTATTACAGCAGCAATAGTTGGAAGATAGTGCCTGCAATTTTGAAGAGTACTCTCCATTACCAGGATGAGGAATTCACCAAAGCAACTGTCGAATTACCCGACGTGTACACGGGCACAGATGTCTCCCGGAAACGTGCAGAGTAAAAGGGCTATCGTGTGAGTCTACGTTGAGCACCATACGCCCAGGTGGTTTGACAGACGTACTGATTCTGAATAGAACAGGCGTTCAACGAATTTTAAAGAAAGGTTGTTATTTGTGTGATTTTCTAGTGGATCACAACAATGTCGAAGTACGGCCTACAAAATTCCCAATTGGTAGTATTGTTACGCAATACCAACAAAATCGGCAGGACAGGATAGATCAAATAGCACCACATGTTAAGGTGATCGATCATCCTCAGGGTAAGACACGCCTTTTAGAGCTGCTTGCTGACTATAGAAATATAGTAGCCTTGCCAGAGGAAAAGCTAGGTCAGACAGATTTAACATCCCATCATACAGCGTTAAAGGAGTGAACAAACCCTATCTACGTACCAGCTTACAGACTACCTCATAGCCAGCGCGCTGTAGTTCAAGACATGATGCAGGGTATGTTAGATGAAAATGTTATTAAGCATTCTAAATCCCCCATTAATAGCCCCTTATTCCTCGTCCCCCAAAAAGATGGTGGATGGCGCCCTGTTATAGATTTCAGGTGCGTAAATGAACAAACAATCCCTGATAGGTACCCTATGCCTGTCTTGAGTGACATATTGCAATCCTCAGGTAAGGACAACGCAGTATTCAGCAACTTAGATTTGCTTAGTGGGTATTGGCAGATACCACTCGATGAGAAATCACGAGAGGTCACGGCGTTCAGTACGGGCCTAGGCCACTTTGAGTTCTTCCGGATGCCATTTGGTCTCAGAAATGCCCCACTAACATTTCAAAGAATGATCAACACCCTGTTTGCCAGATTGATTGGTACCACAGTCTGCGCTTATTTGGATGATCTAATAGTAGTCAGAAAGGACGTTGATTCCCATCTGATTAAACTGCGTGAAGTTTTAGAAAAACTTTCCACAGCAGGTCTTAAAATTTAACTCTCGAAGTGTGAGTTTTTAAAATCCAGAATCCATTTCCTCGTTCCATCGTTCTTTCATCAAGAACTATGCAACATTGGCATCGCCCTTAACAATGTTGCTCAAAAAAGATGCGATGCTTATATGGGACGCTGAACACGAAAACAGTTTTGCGGCATTAAAGATAGCGCTTACCAATGCCCCGGTTCTAGCATTCCCAGACTACACTCAACCTTTCATTCTCTGTACTGACGCTTCCGGACTTGGAGTCGGAGCAGTGCTCATGCAAGAGTATACGCGTAGGAAGTTTAGAGTGATAGCTTTTGCAAGTCGCAAACTTATTGATGCTGAAACACGTTATTCGGTAACGCATTTAGAGACGTTAGCCGTTGTGTGGGCACTTAAGAAATTTAAAGACATTATCTTTGGATATAAGATAACTTTTTATACTGATCATGCGGCAGTAACTGAGCTGTTCCATGGCAGAAACTTATCAGGCAGATTAGCATGCTGGTATCTGACAATTCAAGAGTTTGACCCCGAGTTTAGATATTTACCCGGGAAGGCGAATGTTGTCGCCGACGCTCTGTCAAGAAATATAGCACCAGTAATGCCTGTATTAACCTTCACTCTTTCGCAACTGGAAGATGAGCAACGACGCGACCCATTATGGTAAGCAGTTATTTTTGCTCTCGAATCAGGAGAGGATGTTAAACTCCCTAAAGTAATTCTTCCCTTAAGTCAGTTTGAATTACGACATAACATACTCCATAGGTCGAAAAAGACACCAGAGGGTAATGTTTCTCAAATAGTCGTTCCTGACACGTTGTGCAAAACAGTTATAACATTGTTCCATGATGTCCCACAGGCATGTCACCAGGGTCGTGACAAATGCTTAGCGGAATTATGAAAGAAGTATTTCTGGAACACTATGAAGAAAGACATAGAATTACACATGGCTAATTGTTTGGCATGTGCTCAACATAAAGGTTCTACAGGATCACCGGCCCCGATTCTACCATATCCTACACCAGACCGTCCGTTTGACACAGCCGGTATTGACTTGTTACAACTCCCTAAGAGTCATCAGGGATCAACGTACGTCTTAGTGTGTGTGGATCATTTTTCCAGGTTCGTCGTCTTGGCTCCACTAAGAGATAAATCGGCCGATGCTGTGGCTTATGCATTAGTGATGAACCTTATATGTCCATATTCTACGCCTAAGGTTCTGCTCTCTGACAATGGGACAGAGTTCAAGAATCAGCTAGTAGCGCAAATATGTGCGCAATATGGGATTAAACAAAGTTTTGTGACAGCTTATCATCCACAGGCTAATGGCCTTGTTGAGAGAACCAATCGCAAAATCCTAGATATACTGCGTCCGATTGTCAGTGATATGCAATAAGCATGGGAAGATTGGTTACCGCAGGTAGCAGCGTCTATAAATGGGTCAGTTAATAGCTGTACGGGCAAATCACCCTACTACATTGTCTATGGTACAGATAAACGTCTACCTTACGACATCCTTACAGATGCGCCTTACCCGTGTTATAATAAAGATGATTTCACGGCAAAACAAATTCGTGTCTTTACAGATGTTCATACCCAAGTCCGATCACATTTAGCGGCGTCGCGCGCCGAAATGATCACCAAGCAACATAAACATGTCGTATTAAACGTAGGTGACGCTGTAATGGTAAGAGAACCGGAAAGGCACTCCAAACTTTCGGCTAAATTTTCAGGTCCATTCCGCATTATAGCTAAAGAAGCAGGCAACAAATTTAAAATTTGGAAGCCTAATGCACAGATTGCATATGTCGTGCAGACTGTACAGAAGCAGATTGTACCTAATGACTAATGTATGAAACTTCGTTCTGCAAGTAGATGTTAAACTGTGTGTAAATCTCCTACAGAATGGCTTGGAACATCATTGTGTTGCTTCTACTGTGTTGTTGCACCGTTGTGTTGACAGACATGTCCACATCAGTCCTCAAACCTGGTGCACTTGTTGCACCTCTCGGACGCGTTCTCATTGTTGAGGACGTGGTGAACATCAAGTATGAACTCCACCCACTGCTCCAGTTTCCGCGTCAGATGGACAACGTCGACGCCCAACTACAATCAGCTTTGGACATCCTTCATGGTCTCAGCGCAGCTTCTAATGAATCGACGATAGATTCACAAACTATTGACCTTCTACACTTTCGTCTCCAGAACCTTCGCAAGCTTCTCGTTAATGTTGGGAAGAATATACCAGCGTCTCAAGCGGATCTTGCTAAAGAAGTGCATTCTCAGATACGACGAAAAAGGGGTCTCTTTAATTTTGTGGGTTTTATCCAAAGCATTTTGTTTGGCACGGCAACGGCCGATGATGTAGCTAGATTGGGGGACCGAATGAACATTGTCGTTCAGGCTGTATCTCAAGAGAATCGTGTTGTTTTTCAAACCTTTCATGCGATTACTGCTTTAGAATCAAAGGTTAAAGCAATAATATCGGAGTCTAACCAAGTTTCGAGGATTGTTAATAGGTTATAGAACACAGTCCCGACGTTAGAATGGCTCCTTTATTTCACAGAATATTTGCATGCTGCAGAAATTTCCGTTCAAAAGATTGTAACCTCTAAAAATGAACTAATTGACAGCATTGTAGATGCAGGGATAGGAAGTGTGGACGCAAAGCTTGTGCCTGTGCAGACTCTTTTTGACGCTTTACAGATAGCCAAGTTGTAGTATCAATTAACTCCTATTTTTAATGACAATGAGGTTGAATATTATTACCCACTGTTGGAGTCAACTCTCACGCACAATGCTATCCTGATCCACATTCCTATGTGAGGGCAACATCAGTTTCATGCATGGCATTTAGAACCCTTCCCCTGGTTTGTAAACGACATACTGTATACTCTCGATAGGCCAAGAGAACTCTTCCTAATAGATGAAGATTATTCTTTATTGTCAATAGAAGATCCTAAGGTAAGGCCTCTTGGGTGCTATAACCTTTCCCTGTCATTATATAGAGCTGTTGGTGCCGAAATATTTATTTATACCTGAGGATGGTAGCTGCTGCCATGGTCGTCGTGTCCGTCTCTTGCATCTGCCCACCACGAAGACCTTCTATGTCTGGGGTCGTGAGGGGTCAAGAGGTCACCGGGATGAGTACTGTCAACCTCCTCTGTCACATTTGAGTTGTTGTTACTTTTAGAGTAAGTAATGCTGCTCCAGGTGTGGTGGTGTGAGGTGTGCAAGGGGTCACCACTGGGAGTGTTGAGCGAGTCACCACTGGAACCTCCAGGCCATCTAATCTTCTCCTGACTTTGATTCCACTGAGGCAAATAGGAAGGTGCATGAGGGCCGCTGTGCTGGTCCAGCAAGTGCAGAGCCTTTTTCTCAAAGTCAGCGAGGAACTGGAGGTCGGTGCTACAGGCTAAATCAGATAATACTGGGGCCCAGCCAGATGCAAGAGGCAAGGGAGGTGGTGTAGACGAGTGAACTGAAGAAGCAGTAGTACTCCAGTGGACGTTGTGGACTGGGAGAGACAAGTTACTGTATGGCATTATGTATTATCTGGTGTGTATGGCGTCGGAACAATAAAAGAGCTGATAAATCAAACTGTACCACTCACGTAAAGACATTAACACAACAACTAATCAAAATCGTTATAGTATTTTGTTTTCCAGCGTAACAAATATCACATAACAAACACTTCAGAATACCAATGAATCCTGAAGAGTGTGAGGCGTTGAGAGACTGAGCGCGAGAACAGTGTACGGCTTGGTTTGTGGCGTTACACTGTCGGTGACACAGCGTGAGCTTCCTCATCCTCGCCGCCTCGGTCCAGAGGACACATTTCTGTTCTACTAACCTCCAAATTGCCGTCATTATATCACACAGTTACAAATGTACAGTTGCCCGTAGTAGTCTTGTAACGATGTACCTGTAGTCTTGTAATGATGGAGCTGATTAGTGGAAACGATTCCTAGATGTACAGTAATTATATACTTAATGTAAACAACGCACACATAGATGTTTATTTTAAGAAAGCATACCAGTTAGAGCGATAAGACTTTTTTTTAATAAAATGTATACTAGGAATTCTGTATAATTCATGATTATTATACACCAGGAAGCTTCCTCACACAGGGACATTGGCGCCTTGGTAAATCACACAATATATCAAACAATGGTTCAAAGTAAACCCTGAGAACTCATAATACGTGAATATTGATTCATGCATGATACGTATTATAATAATACAAAGCAATGTAACAGTTAAAGGAATATAATATTATAAAAATATAACTTTAAGGGTATATGACTAACCTATTGGGTAGATCATAGGTGATAGGTTTCGTAGAAATTCAATCACCTGTTCCTACCTATTTGAAGTGCTGTATAATTATTACCATGAACGTTTATGATTCTGCTAACCGTGTAAATCTGGTAAATCTTTTGAACAATTGACAAAGGGTGCCAAGATGAAATTACTTAAATTCTTATTCAGCACATTTAAGAAATAGGGAAACTGAAACAAAAAATGCAAGGTTATCTGAACTACCACCGTGAATCCTCACAAACACACCACCACCATCACTACCTCACAAACACATCCCACCATCACTACCTCACAAACACACCACCACCAGTACTACCTCTCAAACACACCACCACCATCACTACCTCACAAACACACCACCACCATCACTACCTCACAAACACACCACCACCATCACTACCACAAACACACCACCACCATCACTACCTCACAAACACACCACCACAAACGCACCACCACCATCACTACCTCACAAACACATCCCACCATCACTACCTCACAAACACACCACCACCATCACTACTTTACACACATACACACACCGCCACTATCACTAATTCACACACACGACCATCATCATTCCATCACCGTGTCCGTCGTGGTCATGTCCCTAAACTGCTCGGTCACTTACTGTACGTTCACCCCACAGGAATTATCTGGGTTACGGAAAATTAAATACATAATTCTTATAGTGGTTATAGGCCATGGGCCAGATGCACTGCACGTGCACGCTAACCCCCGCTCCTCCCAAAAAACGAATGAACATGTTGACATTGAACAAGAAAAGGACGCACTAGCCTTTTTGATCCTTTGAGCTAGATAAACAAAAAAAAACAGGCTGTTCAATACCGTTAACTTATTTCTTTGATACACCTGAAGCCTCTAAGCGTCATCACTAATAAATGTTATTTATAAAATCACAGCATATTTTTTACGTATTTCAATGGTATGCATGGAATTAATATACAGACTCATATATTTTGAGTAAATCATTAGGGATAATTACCACACCCCATCCACCCTCAGTGACATCTCAATAAAACCCAAAATTTAGTCGTATTAATTTATTTGCAATGATTTACTGAACGATGGCTATTCAAAGTGTACACCATTATATTCTTATGGACTTCATCTTTCTTTAGACACCAAAATCATATTTCTACCATTGCTAAAAAAGAAGTAATGACGCTTGAAACATATATGGGTGCTGCCAAGAAAAAGTAAGGTTCGCCATGCATTTATTTTTCTTCTCATTACAATACTATGACTATCATCTTTCCTTCTGTCTTTCAAAATTGGGTAAGTTTCAGGACATCAAGAGGATACACTGGCACAACTGTTTGGATCAATTTATAAGATGAAGGAATCATGAGATATGATTTCTGAAACTCCTTCAAGGCACCAGGGACACCGTAGGAAATGTCATCACAAGTTCGGTATGAATATGGACCGTTTAAGAGAACCACTTCGATAAAATGCGTGAACCAGTAAATCATGCACGAATTAGTCGCATAAGTTTAGGCGACATGGTCATCTTCAAACCAGACTGCATTTTTTGTTCTGTAGGAAGGGAGAAAGTAGAGGTTAAAGGGTGTGAATATGATGTGAAGAAATGTGGCAGACTATAGCTGAGGTGAGGCGAGGTGTAATGTCTATTGAGACGGATAAAAGGACAAAACCTATTTACCTGTGAGGCCAAGGACCACAAATCTTGCCGTATGAAACGTGTACACAAGCCTGAATATTGGGAAAGCCCTGATGATGAAGGACAAAAGACACAAACTGGCATTATTGAGGCCCACAGATGAGCTTTCAGAGTGTAGGCCAGATCATCTTGTAGACAGTGATATTATTGGTCAGCAGAAAGCCATTGAACTGACTGTTTTACACTTTCTTATACTGTATATCCAACCTGAACCCCATACCATACCGAAATCTTGACTATCGTAGTGAAAATTTGAATAGCAAGCCTGAAAGATATGAACCTTATTGGGGAAAGTTATCCTTCTGTAATATCGGGAATGTTCAACCCGTTTTTAAATTATATTCTGCAATTATAAACCACCACCACCTTTACCACCACCACCTTTACCACCACCACCTTCACCACCACCTCTACCATCACCTTCAACACCACCAGCTCCACAACCTTCACCACCACCATCATAACCCCCATTAACCACCACCACCACCACCACGCTCACCACCACCACCATCATCACCCTCGTTAACCACCGCCACAACCACCACCACCACTAACACCATGACCACCACTTTCACCACCACATCAACAATCACCTTGAACACCACCACCTACCTCCACAACCTTCACTACTGCTACTACTACTACTACTACTTTGCTGTCACTCGGAATCGAGTATGACGATCATCCAGCTATGATACAATGATATGAGCTATTAGGAATGTCACCTAGGTTGGTGAGATTTGAGGTGACTAAAGAAACCGATTCGGGACCCGCACTATCGTTCACATTCGTTGCACTTGTGGAGGGCTGCATCTTGTGTGGGAAGGGCGGTGACAGTGTATTTCTGGAGTTGGCTCTTGTCTGCCTCGGTTTGCAGTCGGGCTAACTTGAAAGTTTTGACACCTTCTCGTGTGGTGCTCCTCCACGCATTACGATATGGAGTAATCGACTCCCAGGTGAGGGGGGTCAATTTGGCACTTTTCAGGTTTGTCTTAAGACTGTCCTTACACCTCTTCAATTGCCCGCCGACGTTACGCTTACTATTCGTTAGGTGACTGTAAGGTAAGTTGCTTTGGCAGTCTACTGTCGTCCATGCGGGTAACATGGCCAGTCCAGCATAGTTGTCCATAGATAATGATAGCCTCGATGCTCCTAAAGTTGGTGTCACCAAGAATACTGACATTTGTTCTCTTGTCTTCCCAGTGAACGTGGATGATGGAACGAAGACTAAATTGGTGAAAGTTTTCAACTGCCTTTAGGTGCCTCCTGTATGTGACCCATGTCTCACTACCATCTAGCAGGGTGGGGAGGACCACTGCTCGATATATGTGCAATTTCAGCTCCCTACAGCTGAAGACACGGTTTCGGATTCTGCCAAAGGCTTGAGATGCACATCTGATCCGATGCTGAATCTCTTCATCGATATCTGTGGTGGTGGACAGGTAGGAGTCGAGATACCGAAAGTGGGTAACATTAGAGAGGGTAGTACAATTAAGCTGGATGGTTGGTGAGGTGTGTCTGAACCAGGGGCAGGTTGAAAGAGAATCTGAGTCTTACGTACATTCACCTCAAGGCCGAAGTGTGCATACGCATCTGCGAAGGTGTTCAGGATCTCTTGCAGGTCGTGTTCAGTGTCAGCAACAAGATGTCCACCCCTCCGACTAAATTGGCACGAATAAGGAAGGCAGCCAAGAAAATGGAAAAGAAAGTTGGTGCCAGTACACACCCTTGTTTAACCCATGTTTGGATGGGGAAGAACTCAGACTGGGTGCCTTTGTGCAGGACAGTGCCGTGAATTTTGGTGGACAGCCAAAATGGCCAAGGGTCCACCAGAGGGCTTCCCAGTTGACCGAGTCGAAGGCCTTGGTTAGGTTGATGAAAGCCATGTACAGGTCACGACACTGTTCTCTGCACTTTTCCTGTATCTGGCGGGCAGCAATCATGTCAGTGGTGCCACGCGATGGTCTAAAACCACGTTGAGATTCTAGGAGTAAGTTTTCCGCCTCAGGAGGAAGTCTGTTTAGGAGAACTTGGGCGATAATCTTGCCAGCTACGGAAAGCAGGGAGAACACGCAGTAGTTGCCACAGTCTGAAAGGTGTCCCTTGTACTTATAAATATTGACGATGGTGGCGTTTTTAAAAGCTTGGGGGATTTACTCCTATTCCCATATATTCTCCAGGAGAGAGTGGAGACGGCTTTGTTATTTTTCGTCTGTTTGATGGCATTAGCTACCTCATCCAGGGATGGAGGTTAGCTGAGGTGGGTCAGCTCTGGCGGCTGAGAGACCTGCTGGATAGTCAGGACATCCACATTGGTGTTTCGGTTGAGGAATGAATGGTAGTGTTCTTTCCAGTGCTGAAGGAGGCCTTCATCGTCTTTAATTATTATAAGATTACCGTCAGATGAGCGGAGAGGGGCTGTGCCACGAGTGATTGGCCTGTAAAATGTTTTAATGGAATTGAAAAATTCGCGCATCTTGTGCTGATGTGCAATTTTTTGTATTTCACATGCTTTATTTTTAAGCCAGTTATTCTTTAGATTGCGAAGCTCCTGCTAGGTAGCCGCTTTCTTCATTCGGAAGGTATTAGCTTTGGTCCGAGATTGAGGGTTGTTTTGCCACCCAGTAAAAGCAGCACGTTTATCATTGATGAATACTTGGATTGCCGGGTCATTTTCATCAAACCAATCCTGGTGTGATCTTTGGATCTGGCCGAGAGTCTCTCTGCAGGTTTTTGTC